GTAGTGTGGCCCTACTGCACCGCGGCGCCTTCTGCGCGTGCTATTGGGGGGGGGTTTCTGCCCCCCCAGGGATTGGAGCCCGCCCCTTTAACGGGCTAGTTGTTTCGCCAAGGGGGTACCAGTTGCGTGCTTTTTAGCGATCCCGGTACCCCCCTGAGGGCGAAGAAGACGGCCACCGGAGGGGTTTTAATGGGTGGAAATCCCACATGACCCTTCCTCCCACCCCCAGGGGAGGAAGGGTATCTTTGAAAGATTTCTCCTGCGTCATCAAAAAAAAAAAAAGTGGTGGGATAGGTTCCGGCCTTCTACTAAAGACAGCTGTAGTTTAGCTAATGAGTCGATATCGATCACGCTTTAGCACGATAAATCGTCAACGAGACAATAGTAAAAGAGACATAGCAAGAAGTAGTACAAATAGTGATGATATATCCACGTGCTTAACGACTTTCCGATCCGAGATTCGAAATACGCCAATTAATTTAAATATATGTATAGCAAACACGATAATTTCTTCGGATTTATACGACAAATATGCATGACCTTATAATAAAAATGATCTTTAAGAGAATATCGTAACGTTTCCTACAGTACATTTAATAATATTTAATCCAATGAAAAATAGGATTACAGATGGACAATAATTGCAGAATACATTATTAATTATTACCACATTAATGAATTACCACATTAATGAACATCAATCCAATTGTTCGCTTCTCGTCAGCTGTGTTTGCGATTCTTGATAACATCGCCTGACAGCATAATCGATTGAAGAAAAACTAGCCAATATAGTATTCGTGCTAGGTACCTGTTTGACGTGAATTTTTTCTATTGTATTATTAGTTTCGCACGTACTGTCATTTTGCATTATGCAAATTATGACTTATGCATAAAAACGTCAAGCGCAATTGGTTTTGTGAATAATTAAGCGAGGCGTTACGGACGCCAGGATTTATGACATGGTGACTCATGTACGCGAGAAGGCGATTATAAATTCACGTTGCCACTGCCGTCGGATGCCTGTATCGTTAACTCAAGCTGACGAAAACGGTGTAGATAGTACAGAGAGATACACTATGTTCAGTTTTTCGATACTCTTATCGGTAGCCACGTTACTGGCATCCGTCGAATGCCAACGTATGACCGAAGTGGTGCAAACTGCCGACGGTCCCGTACGTGGCAGAATCTTCGAAACGATATGGCACTCGAAACCGTTTTCCGCTTTCCAGGGAATTCCTTACGGGAAACCGCCTGTCGGTCCTCTCAGATTTAAGGTAAGCCATTTATGGTACGTATCCGCCATGAATCAAACGGAATTCCATATAGTCGTTTGCGCCCTTAGGATCCGGTCAAAGTCGACTCATGGACAGAAGTCTTAAACGCTACTGAGAATTTTAAGTATTGTCCTCAGTATGTGGTCGCCAACTACGTTGGACAGGAAGATTGTTTATACTTGAATGTATTCTCGCCTGTGGTAAGTTAAATCTTTATCGATCTCCTTAACAATTCCATTCATATCAATGCGTAGAACGGGTAAAGGTGAGTTTACACGATCATTTTTGATAGGTGAATTTTGGTAACATCACGAAGGACTATCCGAAGAAGCCGGTGATGTTTTGGATTTACGGTGGCGATTTTGCGACGGGAGCGGCGTTGCAGGATTTCTACGCGCCCGACTTCTTTCTCGAAGACGACGTAGTGTTCGTAAGCCTCAACTACCGCCTCGACGTTCTAGGTAGCCTCAATTGTCAGCCAAGCTCGCGTCAACTACCCGCATAGTCGTAACGCTTGTACGTTTCGCAGGATTCTTGGCTTTAGATTTGCCAGGCGTGAAGGGTAATAGTGGCCTCAAGGATCAAGTTCTGGCGTTGAAATGGGTACAAAGGAATATCGCCGCGTTCGGAGGCGATCCGAATCGCGTCACCATATTTGGAGAGAGCGCTGGTAGCGCCAGCGTCAGTTTTCACTTGTTGTCCTCGCAAGCGGAAGGTATCTTAACGATTTAACGTATACTCTATTTCCCGAATGACTAGGAGTCGGCACGGTTCAGTTTTCGGTCGTTCTGCGCATCTCCCACCCATATTTACCACTTCCCAATACGAGCGTGTCCTTATTATCCTATCCAGGGATCTCGTAATGTTTCGCAGACGGCTCGCTTCCCCTGTTTTTCGCCCGTATTTCGATCCCCACTACTATTCTCCTCACGCGCGTTCGCTGACCATGCCTAGCATACCCCCATCAAGTACCAGTCCCCACCATGGTCGCGTCGTCCCCACTTTCCGGCCGACCGAAAAATTACGAGATCCCTGTTCCTGCCACGTGAGAAACTTCACGGTGACACTTACTCATTGTGTTTAATGGAAGTTGGAAATGGCGACTTAAGTGCAGTGTTGAGATATTTTTTACCTCGAGGCTCGCTTCCCCTGTTTTTCGCCCGTATTTCGATCAACACTACTATTCCCCTCATGCGTGCTCATGCGCGTTCGCGAAGCTCTCCGCAGCGCTATGGTCCCCACCATGTTCGCGTCGTCTCCACTTTCCGGCCGAGGGAAAAGTTATACCACCGCTGCTCCTAGTCACTCGGGAAATAGAGTATAGATGTCAATCGATTCGCAGTGATCATCGTCCGTTTCAGGTCTGTTTCATCAGGCTATCCTCGAAAGCGGCACTGCTATCTGCCCGTGGGCGTACAACACTCGAAACAGGATCAAGGCGAGCGCCTTCGCGTTAGCTGCCTCTCTGGGTTTTCACACAACGGATCAACAAGAGCTTCTCAATTTCTTGCAACGAACCAACCTCGACGATCTTTTGTGGTCCGCGAGAGCCCAATATATTCAGATCTTTCCGGTATCGCTTCTTTATCTTTCATCCTAATTTTGAAATCTCGTTGAAATTTGTTCATGCTCTATTTCTCACGACAAACGAATCACCGAAAATTTTTCCATTTAGTTAGTGATTGGCACGTACAGACCAACGATGTCGGACGACTACCTTGACGATTGCCCGATAAAGAAAATTCAGAAAGGAAACATTACCCGTGTGCCCTTGTTAATGGGATACAACAGGAACGAGGCTCGTTTCTTCGGGTTCCGTTAGTAGTTCAAACCGATTGTACGATCGATTTCTGGACGACTCACGAAATTGTTTCGAATTTCAGTTACCGACATACCCGAGTTCACGATAAGTAATTTGTTGGAAAAACTAATGAATCTAGGCTCGCTGAACTTGGGCTCTCTATTCGCAAGTGAGCTTGGCAAGCTCGAAGACCTGTCCGAAGCAGAGGTCTTAAAAGTACGTATACTCGTACGTAAATTATCGTTAGGTGCTCGATACTCTAACGCGTGCAACGTGTTTTGCAGTTTATGACGTCATTCCAATT